AAAGTCAATTGTATTCCAAGATTGAGGGCTAAAAATTCGACGCTGGTGAGCTGCCGAAAAGCACAATCAAGTAAATAGACGATGAGGGGACTTGAAATGTTCATGCGAGCAATCCTACCATCACAGAATTAATGCTGGATTCCGAAAAACAAGATGAGGCCATTGTTTTCTTCCACAGATGAAGATGAAGCACATTATTCAGGTTTAATGCTAAATTAATCTGTAAGGAAGGTGACTCTGGCAACTCTGACGATAATAACTGGCTTTTGGCGCCCATACGATCGGTTTGGTGACACCAACGCCCTGGCAATATCAAAGCTAGGGGCTCAGGTCACGGTGCTTTATTGCGTGCAGTAGTAGGTGAAAAGTGTGTCCTTTTACCTTTGTTAAAAGGCACCTCTAGACACAAGTCGTGATAAACAACGCGACGTGTGATGGTAAACAAATTTTTCCATCAAACAAGGCTTCAAAGCCAAAGGTCATCTACTCATTTTCGCGGAGGACTTCAAGCATAATTCGCACGGTCACGGGTTGCTCAGTTTTAAGGATGGTGGAACAGACAACCGCAGCTATTATGATGCCGTTCTTGTAAACACTCAGTCATAGCTTAGAACATCACATTAGTAACGTCTCATTGTCCTGCAATCGCACAATAGAGCATTTACGGACGCACACACCGGGTAACATGACAGCCTCCCACATTGATGACTAAGTGATGCAGGCTGCCCTTGGGAGGCTTTAGCCATATCGAAGACTCCGTCCGCGGCGAAGTTGCCTTCCGAGTGCTGGTGGCTTGGTGAGAGAGAGAGAGCTACACCAAGTAAGTAAGAGCATCAGCAGACTACATGAAAAAAGCAAAGGCAGCTTTTGGTTTCCAGCCTTCTTACATCCTTTTCTATTAAACCGTTCTAGATTGGTTTGGTCAACAATCTTTGAATTCTTGCCTCTTGACTACTGGTGACTGATAATGAAGTACCTTTATGAGACACGGTAGAGACACTGTTTAGGTTTTCATAACGCTGCTACATCGCATTTCGGACGAGAGTGAAAAGGCGTAGTCACAGTGACGAGTGTGCCAATGGTGTCAGGTGTTTGGACTATGAGAGAATGCAGCAAAGAGACGACTTTAGTGTGTTCTTGCTCCGAAAAAAAGATTTATATCACCGAAATGGGACTTGTGTAGACCGCGTGGAGAGGTGTGACGCCGAATTCAGGCCACATTAAGACCCTCATTAGTCTGTGGGGTTTCAAAACCAATCGCACATGAAATTTAGGAAAAATCCACCAGAAGACGAAGTAGTTTTATGTGATTTTAGCACGCCTAGGTGCCAGAAGACCATAACTAAATCATCTTAATTGCCAAAGTGCAAAAAAGTCTTAATCTGTAAAATTATGCCACGAAAATTGGCGGAATCGCGTACACTTTGAAACGCTTTTATCAACAAGTGGTCAAGATGATTAAAACTTTGCCTTGAGTGACCTAAATGCAGCGATCTGGCACCTTGTCCAACTGTGTGTTGCACTACACGCAGCGGCTTCGGACACTTCTGTACCTTAATAATATACGTTCATCTATACTACTTATTCCGACTTCAGTAGCGAATCAGAGTGTAAATACAACTTTAAAAAAAATGACTTAAAAGCTATTCAAAATCACCTTCATTATAAAAAATAAGCGTTTTGAGGTGACATCATTTAGGTAGATGTGATTTTTGAAATCCCAAGTCGAGAGAAAAAGAGAATTTAATGGAAGATTCACGAAATAATATTTAAATTTCACAAAGTCAAAGAATGGTACTGTGGACATGGGTACACAAATTTTAATAACCCTTTTACTAAAAACTATGACTTATGCATTCATCCGAAAACTGTGGTAAGTCTGCAGGAGGAGGATCTCTGAAAAGAAGTGCAAGTGGGTAGATTAAACAACTGTGGAGCTACTAAGTGGGGTTGTACCTAAGACCTCACTTTAACATTTTTGCAGCGTTTTTCCGGCGCCATTTCTGCAAAAGTATCCCGGAGGTGGCGGCTAGAAGAAATGAACCTGCACACCCGAAAACAGCGAGCAGGAGGATCTTGGTATCTACATGGAAAGCCAAACATGCCCTTAGTTGTTTGTTTTTTGGAGATGTTTCAAGTCCCTATGGTCAGGTGACTCGATAATTTGCGAATTGATGGTTCCTTTTCGAAATAAACGGCTACTGGTTAAAGTCGGTATTACTTTAATAAATCAGCAAAACCGCTAAAGAAATCAACTAGTTTTGCCAATTTATTAAAATACTTCATATTTTTCTGGAAGTTCTATTAAAATATGAAAAAAGTGTAAAGGAATTCTTACTTTAACTAGATTTAACTTTTCTTGAAAAAAAAAACTGGGTTACTAGAGTCAAAATATCCCAAAAGTGTTGATAAAGTGAACATGGGAAGTCCATAAACTTGCCAACTGTAGCAGTCGTGGAAGGAGGTTGTTCTTCTAAAAAGGAAAAAAATAAAAATACAGTAAACTGATTGGTCATTGAGATTCGTGTTGGTATTTTCTAATGCGATTATTGGCTCGTTCTTTTACAAAAAAGTCATGCTTGTCAAAAGAATTTGTTCAGATAGTTCGTAAAGTTGACTCAGAATTTCATAAATGGGGTTGATCTAAACCTTTTCTGTTCTACCAGAAACTGAACCATCGGAGGTGGCAATAAACTCTTTATTTCTCAAGTCAAGAGACAGGAAAGGAAGAAGTGTCTGCTAATTGCAGCTCGACTTACGTTGTGTGGTAGTCCACCTCGGGGTGCTGGTTGACACGTTGGTGGTCCAATACTCTGAAGAGATATTACAAAGGGTGCGCTTATTCAACCACTGTATCAGCTATACAATTCGTGTTTTTTTAATCAGTAGTATGTGTCAAATGCGTTACGCCTATGGAAGGCGGTGCAAGTGTTGGGAACCAGTGTGTACAGACAGAACGAGGGCGCAAAACCCAAGGACATAGACTTGTACAGCAGAGTTTGGGCACAGTGGCATGATCAGACCACTGACGGTTCCTACCATACTACCAAAGCAGTCATTCCAGTGCCCATTTAGTTAATCCTTCCGTGGAAATAGATACTACAATCCTTGCGTACAATGATTTGCGATTTCTGAAAGGTGCCGCAAATTGAGTACTAAAACAATTTTCTGCCGTTGACCAACTCAAAAGGATTAATTCCTGCACCAAATTAAGAAAGCGCTTCGATTTCATACATTTCATCATTCTGGTTACGGGATCTGGAAGATCGTGAACAGAAGAAAGAGGTGTTCTTTTCTTCGGTGAAACCAACAGTTCCCTTATAATTTGATAACGTTCAGCAAATTATGCAGAATCAAATCGTGAAATAAGCATGCCATTCATCAGTCATGTTGTGATTATCCCACGTTGACGTCCATATGCTGAGCAAATCAACCGACAGACTCCTGCTATAGACTGATTTTCAGCACATACACTTCCAGTCCACAATATCCAGCCCATGACATGTCGCTGTTCCCTCTCATCATTACTTCAGAGTGACAATTCGGCTTGATGGACAGAGGTGGTTTTAGGGCACAAGCGGACATCTCAATGCATGTGACCACATTAACAAGTTTATCAGTAGAACAAAACTAACCTGGTGGAGTGGGTTGAACGATATAACTACTTGTCGTATTGTAATTGACGGTGAATAGGGTTGTGACATTTATGATGTAGGTCTGATACGGCGTCAAATCTGTGAGAGTAAGGCTCGCTGGGCCAGTACGCAAGGCCTTTGCGGTTGGGGTGCCTCGAAGTCAACAAAATAAAATGACATCAGTAAGTCGGTGTGGATCAAACTATTAAAATATTTAAAAGCACTAATGAGAATGTTGTTCAAGCCATTTCAGGACAGCCTGCACCTCTTAGCCGTCGGTGTGGAGGGATGTCGCGTTACCCAGTGTGGGCTGACTTTTGAGACTTCCAAACGCCTGTGGCCGTAGATGATAATGCAGCATTCACCTTTGCCAGTAATGTATTTTTCCTTTTTGCAATGCCGTGATATGGCAGGTTATGCACAGATCGGGCGTCCACGGTTGGGCAGGTGGTCTACACACTAGCCGAGTTTTCAGAGGAGTGGTCACCGAGGCTGTAGATGGAGTATCACTACGACTGAACTGCCACTGATATGTGGAAGTATGACCATGTTTGACGAGTCCAGCACTTCTAAATGCTCTACTTCGACTACTCTTGAAGTATTGTGTGATAGAAAGTGTTCAAAGTTTGACATTTTTACTTACAAACAACTTCTTAGATCACCACTAACTATCTCATGCCTACGATACTACTATTGCCTACCGTCTCGATCAAGAATGTCTGGACTCACCTGATTGACGACATATGCGGCGGTTTTTACAAGAAGCAAAGGCAAATTTTCCCTAATTTCCATTCGGCACAAGATTAAAAGAGTTGAGTGACTCTCCAAGCACAAAAGAAACAGCATTGCAGCAAAAGATGCATTTAATTGGATGTTTAAATATTCCCTATTATGTGGCAGTAAAGATGACAAGGTTTCCTAAATACTCACCCATTTTTTTAACTGAAAAGGGTCCATCAGCTTCATTAAGGTAGAAGGAGATCGTGAGATTTGAATCGACAGTTACGATGAATCCAAGAACATCGGATCGGGGTACTGGGAGTAAATTTAAGCCCACTGTTCTCTCGTCAATTAGAATGATTTGAACTGGCGGTGCTTGTGGAAGATCTAAGTACAAATAAAAAAATTGTTTTTGACATGCTAAGATCCACATCCGTTTATGCATCTTGCATCCATCCAGCCATCCTGTACCCATCCATCCATTCATCAGTTGATATTAACAAACTTTTGTCAACGATACAATTTGAGAAAAAGTTTCTTAATTTTGTGTGTCTGCATGCCAAAGTAAGTGTTTCTTACCTGGAGATGGCACAAGTAGCTGGACAGGACTGCTAACACCGCCATACTTATCCATGAAGCCTTTTGTCTTCATCGCTGCTTGAACTGTGCACGACAGAACTCCTGGCGCAATATTTTCGAGAAGCGTATACGTGTCTTCCGTTTTATCACTAATAACAGCTCTGTTATTCTTGGCCTCACAACGCCATTCATAGTAGGGGTGTCGACCCGGCAGTGAAAGCGGCGGATTCCAGGTTAAATTCACTGTTTTTGGACCAATTAGCGTCAACTTCACGTCTCTTGGGGTTCCCGGTGCTAAGGAGGAAAGAAAAACAACATTAATAATGAAGAACTCATCATTATAGAACATTCATTTAATTTCCTTTACCTCCAGCATCGGTTTCAGCATCACCTAGGTGAATCCAAAAGGGCTTGCTTCCAGTACAGGTGCTTTCTAATTTGATGCTGTATATGGCTCCTGGAGAGAGGTTATCGAATGTCACCCATTGTCTGCCGTACAGAGGCTGCTGAACCTGCCTGACTGCGCCCGTGTTGTATGGATCCGCCTTCACGCGATAAGTGCAAGAAGAATTGAACATCAGTGGTTTTCCCCATTTAACTGTTACGCTATACCAGAAGACTGATATCTCGTGATGTGAGGGCTGCAAGGCGACTAGAAGGAATTGACAAAATGGAATTGCATTCAGCTTTGCTCCAGTTATAACAGGAGAAGAGGAAAACTCACAGAACTTAGGCATAATAATGGGGTAAACAGCTCTTTTCGTCACGGCGTCATTTGTAAACGCTGTGACAGTGTAGTTGCCTGGGTAGCCGAAGGGTGTTTTTGGAGCAACCTCGAAATGCATGGTCTTCTCCTGTTGAGCTTGTTGAATCTTGCTATACGGAATGACACTCCTGTTACGGTATTTTGAAAAATCCTAAAATATCCGTGTAAAAGAGAAGGGTATATGTGACTGATCTGTGCTTGCAAACATAAGACTAGAAGGATTACTGTGTATTATTTTCCACGGATTAAGACAATTAACGTTTTCCATATTTGGCTAACTGAACTGATAGACTGGAGTTTCGTCAATCTAATTTATGAAAATTTATATACTTTAATCCAGATATCCCCATCCAATAACATTAATGATGGGGGACCAAGGTCTAAAATGTCACAGAAGAAGCCTTCTACCAAGAGAGGAGGGTTATCAGGGCAAGTTTAAATTTCAGATGTCTCTTCACCCTCGTGGTCTGCAAAAGAGCAATTTGCAATGGGCTTAGACGGTAAACAAGTTAATTGTAGAGATGTTTAGGGCGATTACGAGGAGACACTGAATTACAAAGGGATGCATCTTCTTCAGGCTTCAAGATGCTGAGAGCCACCTGAATCAACTATTATGCAGCATTAAACTGGGAACCATGTAAAGTGGAGGTATGAGCAGAAAAAATGGATGGAGGAGTCGGCCTTGGTTCTACTTTCGGGGAATAATCAGACGAATGGTGCTTGTAGAGCAATGCAGCATGCCAAACTGCATTAAGAAGTACGGAAGCAGTGAACCTCACAACTTAGCCCAAGGTTAAAATAAAACTGTGATTCGATCTAAACCCATGTCAAGGCCTTCTCATCTTTATGGATAATCAGGGCGTGACATTCGCTCCTACAGCAGGAAGGTCACGGGGCTGCAGAGGAAAATGTTTAAAAATAGAGGAACTACGTAGCCGAGCGGCTGTTACCTCAATTACACACAAATCTTTGCGGAGAATTCAGCTTTTGTAGTTTAGCATAAGTTCATCACACCTTGACGCCATAGCGTTCCGTCTCTGCTAATTCTGGTAACACCTTAAAAGTTAAATCTGAGGCTTTTGAAAGTACGAAATTCGCAAATTCTTCAAGAAATATTACTGCTATGAAGCAAGTGAAGTTTAGCAAAAATGTCAGTAAGGAAGACCAAAAACTTACCCTACCGTCAATGACTTCGAAAACAATTGTCTCGTTAGTATGACTGAAAACAAAAGTGAAGTTATGGATCAATCGAGGATGCGAAGTCGGTGGACGGAAGGTGACAGTGAGGCGAGCAGTCTCGGGTGAGATCAGCACCAACCTCCCGTAGATATCGCACGGTGGATCAACTTAAGGACGCAAAAAAACAGCTTCAGTCATCCGAATGGTTGGTCGTGTAGTTTGGGTGCAAAGAAGTCAACTCTTTTAACTAGGCTATCTCCGCAAAATGTTTCTCTTTTCGTAAGTCAAAAAATACGTAACATAAAAGGATTTTTACGTTCCAAATCCGAATTGTTGGGAACTGAGTAGGTTCTGACATCGAACTTTGGAAGACCTTCAAGTATTTTGCTTGGGATAGCGAACTCAAGAAGGTTCAGTTTAGGAAGGAAATTCAACGGTCGTTTCTCTATTGGCAGAACAACTGCCAGTGACGCACGTTGCCCATTCTGGCAGAGATTCATTGCCTCGATCTAAGCAAATAAAACAGAGGGGCCCTTGAATCGCGGTTAAGCATAGTGCGCTACTGAAATAAGTAGAATGCATGCATTTGGTGGTAAATCAAAGCCCAATGAAAATGGGAATCCCGCAAAAAATACTTTGATAAAATTAGTTGGGCGTTACCGTGAAAATTTAATCGCGTGAATTATTAGTCTTAGATCAGGTTTGGGCGCATTTACAAGCTAGTCAATTCTAAGGTGGAGTTTTGAATCCCCACACACACCCATAAGAACTGCCTTGCGACGAAATAAAATTGTTCACTTGTTTTCATCAGTGGCAACGAGTGAGGCGTACTTCAAAGGCCAAAAGCGCGAATTGAATTAAGGAGAAAAATGTGTGAATATGCATAAATTCTATTCAGTCACTTACGATTGATATACGTTACTGAATTTTGATTGAGTAGCATCTTACATACCGTGTAGTTTGCGGAAGTCGCATCATATATGACCAGCATGCATTTCTCCGTAATTTGGTGCGTTAATACCACTACGTATGGACCATCACCGACCACACGAGCTTGAGAAATCTCCTGAACCGGTCTATCAAGGAACAATTAGGAAAGAAATTATTTACAAAGGAGTTTATATTTGTAAAATTGCGAATATGGATCAAACAAATGTCGGTGGAGAGAACAGTGCATCTTATGGCACTAGACAACGATAAAAGGGATTCCATTATCAAGACCTCATGACCCTGCAGTGACAAATTTACATCGCCGTCTCGAAAAGGTTAGTGGGATTCACTTTTGATGTGTTATTAAAGCCCCATCTGCACTTTTAACTAGGCAAAAACTTCAGGCAGGGAATTTTAAACTTACAGTGAGAGGTGAGAGCCAAAGAGAGGGCTACCTAAAAGCACAAAATCCAACATTAGAGGAATTAACTGATTTAACTCAGAATATTGCCAAGACTTTTGCGCATTTAATTCGAGCGAGAAAACACTCACCGCCCGTTGTTATGGTCGCGATGGCAGATACTCCCTTCATATTGAATTGAGTCTTCATAATGGCCGTGACTTGATACACGGCTTCAACTTGTTCAAGTATGACAGTTAGGTGTTCACTTTTCCCGGTGATATGCTTGGAGAAGTTTCTATCTCCAACCTTTGTAATGGTTACTGACAAATTCTGGAGGACATTCTGTGGACAGTATTGGCTCACAGGCCAGGAGAGACTCAATGATTTGCCATCTCTTCGATCGACATTTGCATGGAAGTGGCGTGGATCTGGCCACGTAATCGGTGGCTCTTCAGTAGATACACTCAGCAAGACACTGAGAACGATAACAACGACCGCACGCTTTTGCGGCATAAGAAGAAATGAGGATTCATTGTAGTGGGTTGCTGTAATTGTAGGCACGGGTGTCGAACCAATAAAAACATTTGATCGCACCAGACGGTCACCAGCCGCGTAGTACGAGACAAACAGCGGTGACAGTGAAGCTGCTTTGAAGTTAGCAATATTAAGTAATTAATAATTACTTTCTACTTTTTTATCGGGCTTAGGGAGTTGAGATACGCCAGCTTAGAGGAAAGACAAATCACACCTTCCCATTAGAAAACACTTAAAGCACAATACGGATGTCATTTTAGTAAGATTTTAGCATATTTTTGAAAAACTGGCCGCACAAGAGACCAGGGTGTGCGACATTCGCAAATGTCAATCAGTTGACAGATCCACGTGAAAGCCTTTTAAGAAGGAATACATTTGTTAAATAATGGTGCATTTGGTTTTAATAAGCCCATCAATTGAAGGGTGAATCACAGCCTTTAAGGAAAGCTAGGTAATCCATGTTAATCCAGGGGAGAGGATGCCAACTCGGCTGAAACGTATTCATTGTACTTGTCGGCCAACAACTCCAGGAAGTCTAAATTGTCAACGAATCGAAAGCCTTCAATAGGTTCTTCCTAAAAGTAGTGCAAAAAAAGAAGTTTAACAGAAAATAAAAAATAAGTATTGTTAAAGGGGGGGGGGGACTAGAATGAAGGATATTAGCTGTTTATGAAGCAAAGTTGAGTTACTTAAGTTTTCACATAAGGCAATTAGGCACTCGTCTAACCTCCGCTTTACTTTCTGAATGCAGGCAAGGGTACCATTCAAGTGGAACTGGAACTTTGAAGTTCACAAGTTCAAAGAGAGATGCTACCATTAATGTTGCATGAACGAGCAAGTGGCGACCATTTTCTGTTACTAATAACCGATACAAATTCCGTGAGCTTGTACAGGTACCACTAGTCAGGATGACAGGACAGGGCATGAGAATTCTTTTCTGAGAAGGCTCAAAATCTGTGGATATCTGCCTAGCACAGTAAAGTGATGTATCAAACCGCCCAGCGACATGATACATGAACGGTGTACAGGTACCAAACATGGCCGTGGGCCTGCGCAGCAGTAGCGACCCAGGTAGTGGGTGGCTGGCTTTCTAGTCCCCAGTGTCAACAGCCATTCTTGGCAACACCCAGACAGCCTCGAATGCCCTATCGGGGTATATCCTGCCATATGTCGGCATTGTAAAAAGGGAGAAACCTTCCGTGACAAGGACGAGCACAACAGAATCGTATACGAACGCAAACATTGAGAAGCCGGAGATGTGGACACACACTGGGTTACAAGGCAGCCCTCCACAACGACGATGAAGTGAAGTAGGCTGTCCTGGAATGATCAGCCATAGCCGAAGTCTAAGGCAGACTTGTCTAGCATGTGTCGTTTAATTGCTGAGGGGTAAGTACATAAACGCAGTGATATTGGCTGGAGGCTATACAAAAGTTCCCATTTGACTTGAATGTATCTCCTATTACAGAAAGTTATTGCCAAATTATGACAGATAATTTCATCTAGCTTCCGTAATTTCATATGAAAATGCATAATTTTTCACTTTTGATAGCTTTTAAATGCTGCTGCAGAGAAACAACTTCTAAACTACATTTTTAACGAACCAGTAACATAAGCAGATGATTTTGTGCTTGAAGAGCAGTTGTCAAACGTGTCGAGAGGTGTCGCATTATTGTAACCGCAGAAAAGACAATTATTTCAGCTCCATAGAGTAAGCAAAGCAAAAAGAAGTCCTGAATTTCGCTCCAATCTAGATAATTGAGATAATACTGTCTTAACCAGCAACGCAGCACCTAAAATTGACAAAAGACATTAATAGAGACAAGAATTATGTGGGAGGTTAAGGAAAATTCAAAGTAAATCTGTTGGTGAATTACCATTGAGGGTGAGTACCCGGACAATTGGAATGTGTTGTAGAGTTGAGGTAACTCAGAAGCAAAGACCACTTCAAATACATGACAAATTGTGTAATGATGAGACGAGGGCATCTCCACAGGCTAAAAAAACAATGCCTTTTACGCTACATCCTTAACTCCGTGATACAAAGGTGTTTAAAATATGAAAAAAGCCAAATAGATAAAAGATTGATGACACAATATGCAAAAAAGTAGAGAGAATTGAAAAGCCCCTTGATCTATGGAAAACGGGAAGACCAAATCATATACTGTGACATGTTTGATGGAACCTTGTGAAGGAATTGGCTGTTGGTGCTCCGATGAACCAATTTTACAAGAACAAACACAACCAAGCTAAGCAGAAGCTCTAAACATCATTCGAGACCAGAAAAGTATCCTGGAATTACAAAAAAAATTATCTATTACCTTACCTAAAACAGTTTGATGAACCGCATTTTTATTAGACGATCGATACTACTGAAATCCAGTAGCAGTAATCGATTCACTCGAAAAAAGGGCTAAATTACTGGCCGGCGAATTTACTATTTGAAGGGAAAGTATGTACATTTTCTAGTTTAATATGACTTCTAAACCCTCCTACCTTCTCCCTTTTCCTTTACCGTTTTTATTCCTTACAGTTTTATCAGAGCCAGACTACTTATTTCCTTCAGAATAGTGGGATTAATGTTTTCAAATAGCATCAGCAAAGTTTAAACCCATTTTTAAATACCAAATAACATTACAATATGATATTCCAGAGGTGATTCCTCTTTCGAAAGGCTTATTTTGTCTGTAAAAGCAATGTCGGGGATTGCATTGATGATAACGATAACCAAATCTGAGGTGTAGACGACCAAAAATATTCGAACTCGACAAATGGACACTAAATCCAACACCTCAAAAGAACGCATACACAGTAGATGGTTGGACTTGTGAGGATTCACTACAAAAGAGTAAGCATGTCTACTTCAGGTCTTGGCAAGTTCCACGACGACCACTACTAAGCGACGTGAAGTTTTAACAACTTGAAGTCGATCAAAATGAAATGCTTGATGTATAGTTTTACAACCATGAAACCTATTCTTTATGCAAGACTTAAGCCATTGTGATTGATGAGTAAGGCGTGGTAGTTGCAGATTGTAAACAATCCTCTCTCAATGCAGTTTTCTTCTAAGGATGCCAAATTGGGAAATTTTAGCCAATCCACCATCATCTCTTCTATGAAAGATATTAATCACATTCACACCGATCCATGGGAGGGTGCACTATACCCGAGGTGAAAGTGGCTATGGGGAGTTTCGGGAACAACACTCGAAACAAGAATGGGACCATGAGGTGGAAACATTTGCTAAAGTATGCACAGGCAACATCTGAATGTTGCCGATCTTGAAGTATCAAAGCGCAAAGCTAAAGTTAAGTATATTAGAAGCGAAAAAAAAGTAAGAAGGAAGACGCAACTTACAGAAGGGGCCCATAAGTAATGCGCAAGTGAAGTATCTTGAAATCGGTTGAGAAAGTCGACTGCACGAGAGGTGCTGCCATTGAAGAGTAGAAAAATCAAACCCACAAACCAATCAAACGGTCTGAAGGTTTCACCGCTCATCTGATGCTTTTCTACATTTCCATCGACTGTGGTAACTTAACCAAAAAATGATATGTCTCACCATTGTTGGGATGTTGGAGGTCTTTTTGAGAGACTCTACTCAAGATTCTCAAGCCATCAGTATATGCTAAGAGATCAGCCAGGTCGTGTTTTCGGCTACTGGGAGGAACTGTCGTGTCCAGGACGTGAACACGGCATCCATAACTGAAAGAGTGGATTAAACGATACCTTTGCAACTGAGAATGATCGTACCTGAGTTGATATGTTTTAAAATCAACAGTAAGCCATACGTAAGTAAAATTGGGAAAAAGATATGCTACATATAATGTGCAATAGCAACAAAAGCTTACTCAATAACCAACCCCATGGCAGTTTCTTTCCAAGTAGGCGTTAAGGATGAGTCGACATTTGGTGGTGCTAAAATGGGAAGTTTTTTATGAACCCTCGAATATGCATTCCTGTAGCACCTAAAAAGCGTTAAAAATAATCGTCTGCTGACAAAAATTCCAAACAATAAGGTGAGGTGGATAAAACACGAGCATAAACTGATCACTTTGTAAATGCAACTGGTGCCAACTTATACGCGGATATCTTAACGAAAGGTCACATTTCCAGGAGAGAAAATAAGTTAAGAAAGAAAAATTAATTATTATGAGCAGTTTTATGCTTGGAAGAAAATAAAACTAACACGGAGAGGAAGTAACTTGTTTCCGACTTGACATTGCACGAAGACAGGCATCAAACAAAGACCCGATTTCTAAAAGAGTCAAATTCGAGACAAGCGATCCAAGTGATAAGGCAACAAAAGTTGTTGGGGTTTGTAACCACATCAAGGAGAAAACAAAAAGGCTTTGAAATAAATTTGTGTTAACGTAGCCACTCTAGGTGGAACATCAAAAGAAATCCCTACCTGGAATCTGTTTATTCATTTGTGGCAAAAATTTCGTTAAGTTTCTTATCTTCACTCGCAGACGTGGAAACTTGAAGAAAATTTGATTCTCCGTTTTGCATTGACCGTTGATAGGGTGTATGAGACTCGAAATGACAATACTGACTAGGGTAGCATTGGTCGGTCGCTTCAAGTTCATTGGTGCAGGTTCAAGGTCATCCACACACTGAGGACAATTGCTAAACTTCTTACTTTTTTGCGTGTATTTCTCCAATTGGTCGGAATTCAGAGCTGTCACGATTGGATATGGATAGGGATCCGTATTATGCTGGAGGATCGAATAAAGGGAACTAAATATGGAAGCTAAATTTAGGTGCCTGTCATTTTCTAATCAGAAGAAACAGTCCAACTACACGAAGCATTCGCATAGAATTGGCATTGTCAGTCTTTCAGCTATCAAGTTATGCTACGTAGCGATGCAACACCCACTGGTAGGTGGGGCATAGCATCACCGGTGATAGCCGGCCTTCGCGACGTGGGCCAGTCGAGTCGAGGCACCGTGAATTAAAGTGGCGGACAACACCGTGAACGCTCTAAGCCTGGAGACTTCTATAGAACACTTTTAACACTATCCGATACGATTGAGGGGTACCATAGTGGCTCAGTTGTAATAAGACACAGACATAGCTCTACATCCGCTGATGTTGATTCCACCTGTAATGATTCCGTTGCCCACCCCTATCCCCTCCAGCTGTTACTGTGAATATTCAGTTTGACGGGGAGTGGAGCACTTGTCTAATCTTCTGGATGTCTAATAAACGAATTTACGTGAGACGAACATTTCTGACACAATATCGGTAAGGCAGCCTATGCTGGACAACATGGCAGCTTTCCTCAGGCCATCCTCCTAGGGTGGTTCAACAGAAATGACACTTCCCAACGCTAAAGCCACTTTGTGAGTAGTTAGACAACTGTGTCGAGAGACAAACTACGGTTTCATCATCTTGAACTGGGTCCTTTTCCTTCACGAACAATCCTTATAAAAAGCCCTATTATATTATCTTATTAGTAAAGCTACATCAAATCTGTTGTATTTCAAGATGTCTGCAACTGCAATCCGACTAATTAATGAAACCAAACTATTCGGGGATTAGCGACCAACCTCACAAAGACTGCGGGGAGGTAGGTACCGTTCATTAGGACCACCAAGGATTGAACATTTCACAAGAAGGCGGTTTCGTTCAATTAAGCCTTCGTCTATTAGAAACCGACCATCTACTACTACTGCCTCCTGATCCAAACTGTTTTGTAGTTGAGCGTTAAGAAGCATGCTCCTTATGCCAAATTGCGATTCCAAAAGTAGAAATGTATCCAGGGAAGAAACGATAGCACTCAAAAATCTGTAGATTCATGCAAGATTAGATTAGAAGAAAGGAAGTAAGTCGACCCACCGCAGACCAAAAACCCGGGTTTCATCTGGACGGCAAAGTTTAGCAAGTTTTGTGGCGGAATCTAACATGACAGCACGGTCTATGAAGGCCTGAGATGGAGGAAAATTAGTCAAACGTAACTTACAAGCAGGAATTTTGGAATAGTTTGAAAGCTTCGACCTGACACAATTCGACTGGAATCCCTCGATAAGGATTCAAAAACTGCAGTGAAGTTGGCAAACAGATTCACCAGTCGATTAAAAGGCTAGAAAATACATAAAATGACTGGTTCTATTCCAAGTTGTCAAATGACTTTATCGAAAGTCGTCTAACCTTTTGAATCTCTGATTCGGGTAAGTCGGAAGGAAGAAGTGCTCCATGATCCCGATAACCTCCGTCATCCAATAAATCATCTAGGGAAAATTCCATATCTTCGTCTCCTCCTTCAGCAAGTGCTGTGCCTTCAGTCTCACAACCTTCTAAAAGTTTCCAAACTTCGAGAAAGCGATGTTCTACAAAGGAGGTCTTCTCCAAACTTCTGAACCCCTCAGCACATGAGGTGATTTGGCTGACCAGTAGATCGGCTTCGAGATATGAGTAATTCTGAGCCTACACGAAAATAAAGCACTTACAGCATCCTAAACTTTGCTAAAATTT